GCAGGAGTCCAAAGACAGGTCAGGCAAAAAGATCAAAATGGGGACTAGCGGGCTGAAAGGTCCAGAGGCAGAGCAGGTCAGGATCAGAAAAAACTCAGGAATGCTAGAGAACTCTCATCAAAGGCTTGAATAATCTGGCATGATGACTGGTCTAAAGGCTGGTTAAATAGAGACTGAAGCAGGTGGATCAGATGAGCGGTAATGACAACTGGGCGGAGATAGGCAGGTGAGTGAAATGACTAATCAGGCCAGTCATCATCGCAAAGATCATGACAAAAAATGTCTTTAGTTTTTCTGCTAGATGGATAACTGAGTTTTTAATTAGCAGTTAACAGCTGTCTGTAAGTTTCTGCTTTAGTAACATTTGATCTGACTACACAATTAGGCACAAGCTTATTCCTTTAAATGTGGACATTTGTTACACTTTAAATTATAATCTCTTATATTTTTAAAATCTTTTTTTAAACAGTAAAAGTTTGTTTTATTTTTCTTAATGTCCTAATATCCAGAAACTGTGAAGATTATCAGCATTTCAAAAGAAATTGTAGATTTTAGAAAGCTTTTAACAAAAAAGTAAGAACAGAATGATTTGTGTTTTTTTGTTTTGTTTTTATTTTACACTGCTTGTTGGCAGTAAATCTTTTACTATTGGGTAGCCTATTTATTTCCCTTTAAGCCTATAAATTATGTTCACTAGTCGAGCTACAGAGCTGAGTATGTGAACAGTACTTAAAAAAACAAACATGCCAACACCATATAAAAATCTATTCATTGTACGTACTTGAAGAGGCAGGCTACAGGGGAACGGAGAGAGGCATTGATCTTCTGTCCGACTCCGGCGGCCATTTGGTTGACAAAGCGACCATGTATGCATATACTCACATCTAAGGGCATTGCAGAATAACCAACATGGTTTATGGCTGTGAGAAGAACCTAGAGCTCTCACAAAATCCCCTGAGCAAATACCAAGCACATCTTAATGGAGACAGTGTAATTAATGGTTGAGAGTAAATAATTCTGTCCATAATGTTGATTTGTAATGCAGTTTAATGTGGTTCTGCACTAAAAACACTCGATAAGCTTAGTAGGTCAGGGGTTTCCTCAGGGCTGAACCACAGGGCACTAGGAGCTGCTATATTACTCTCTTCTGACTTCCTCCTGCCATGCTGTGAGCTGCTTTTAGTTGTTTGTGCTTACTTCTTCATGTTAATGTACATTTGGAAGGGGAAGGGGAGACATTTTCCAAGAGATTACTGGGTCATTAAAAACAAAAACATACATATGCATGCCCTTTATGGATATGTGGGGATAAATAATGATAAAATATTAGCTAACAATTTACCTTCTGCACGAAAACAAGTGTACAAGAGTAAATTCATTGTATAGTAATATCTCCAGATAACATCTTCCATAATCAGACAACTTTAATAAACATGATGTGTAAGTTACCCAAAAGAAAATATTGGTCATTTATGTTTTATTCAAAATAGGTTAAGTTATAATGGACTTGTATCTGTACTTGTTCTGTTAGATTGCAGTGCTGCATTTGATACAGTTGATCATAATAATCTTTTAGAAAGACTTGAATATTTTTTAGGATTAAAGCAACAGCACTAGACTGGTTTAAATCATATCTATTTGATCGGTTTCAGTTTGTTCACGTTAATGACAAATCTTACTCATGCTCAAAGGTTACCTGTGGACTACCACAGGGATCAGTGTTAGGACCAATTCTCTTTACTATATGTATGCTCCCAACTGGTAGAATTATTAGACAGCATGGGATTAATTTCCACTGTTATGCTGATGATACTCAGCTATATCTGTCTATAAATCCAGATTAGGCTAACTCATTAGTACATAGATCACAGGCATGTCATAAAAATCTGGACGACTCTTAACTTTCTGTATCTGAATGCAGACAAAACAGAAGTTATAGTCTTTGGACCAGAGTCTTTGAAAAAGACGATGATTAGTGGGGTTTTGCATAACAGACATCATTTATCTGTAGTTTATTTGGTAACAGAACAAAATTACCCAACAGGACTGCTTAATCTGTAGAAATACCTAAGCTTAATGTTGACTAACCCTGAAAGCCCTTAGCCTCGTGAGACCATCCTGATCTTGCGAGCTTTCAAGATTTCGCTCGCTAATCAGTCTGGAGACTTTCCGTTGAAGAAAATTTGGAGCCGTTCACCAAACGAACGTCCAATCAGCGTTGGCTTTGAGGCAGGTTGAGGTGTGACGCAACGAGAAGCGCGACAGTTCAGTCTAAAGAACATGGTGGCTTCAGCTGATGACACTAGTGTTAGCGTGGCTATCGAGCAAGTTTTATCGGAATTACAGAGTATTTCTTCACTGAAAGAAAAGCAAAACACTGCTCTGGAGGCTTTTCTCAGAGGAAAAGAGGTTTTTGCTCTTCTCCCGACTGGTTTCGGCAAGAGTAGCCTGGCATGTGGTTGTGTTGTCGTCGTCGCTCTGTTAGTACGTCATATGCTTCGTTGATCTGATTGGTTTATTTGGCCCGTCTATTACCAACATAGGCCAATCAGCTAACCAGTATTTTCGCCCCTTCCCAAAATTACTGCAACGGAAGGTTTCCAGATGGATATGCGGAGCAAATCCATCTGGCGGAGTCAGGTTAGAAAGCCCTTAGTCCATACCTCTACTTTCCATGTTAAGCAAAAGCTGTAAATTATTATGTTTAGCATACGTGGTTATAGTAACTAGCGAAACCAAAATCAAAGTTGGATTTGAAAAAGTATGTTTCAGCCATAATCAGGTTTTTTTTTTTTTTTTTTATTCCACTATTGTTAAATAAATTTAGATTTGCATAAGAATCCTGCCTGACCCATAAATTGTTGGGATCCTCAGGCTGGCCCACCAGAGGGCGCTGAGGATCCTCTTCTGCTCTTTGTTGTTTTCTTTCAGGACTGGAGTTACTGTTGGGATCTGGAGATTACCTTCTGTCTCCAGCAGAGTGCGCTGTGGGTCTCCTAGGGCTGGAGTCTTCCAGCACACCTGTTATGCATCTTCTCATCAGGAGATTTCCCCTTTATAAGCTCCTGCCAGACCTTGCTTCCACGCCGCAGTGTTGATCTTAGTTTGGTTAGCAACCTGAGCCTCTATTACTGGAAGAATCTTACGGTAGTTGTCTCTAGTGTGAGATCAGATTCTAATCTCTCCTTTGTCTGTGCCTCACAGGAAACCTGTCGCTAGTCTGAAGCTCTGGGTGAGCTGCCTCACTGGTAACCTGTCTCTAGCCTAAAGCTCTGGGGGAGCTTAACCTGCTAATCAGCTCTGGTGAGCCAACCTGAAGATTCCTATGTGGAATTAACCTGAAGACTCCTATGTGGAGTTTACCTGATGATTCCTAAGTGGAGTTAACCTAAACATTTCCTATGTGGATATCCCCTGCTGTTCTCAGTGAAGAGCTGGAAGCTCAGATCAAGGTCAGCAATGCTAAGTCTGAAGCTAGATGCTTTAGCTCCTCATGAACTCTGCTAACCAACAGTCTCTGGTCCCAGTCAAGACTTCTGTGAACCAGCCCAAACCAGTTCCAGATCAGTCCATATTCGTGTGTTTTTGTGAAACCTTAATAAACTCTGTTGAACTTTTATCCAGCCTCCGTGTGTGTTCTGCATTTTGGGCTAGCTCAGATACCCATCATGACATAAATTACGTTTTTATCTGAGAAAATACAGTCGCCAAAAAATTGTGCTAATGTCCTGCCAACATTACAACAGTAAATAAAGCCTAAATAATCTGACCAAAAATAAAATTCTTCTACTTGCTGAAATTTGCCTTTGTAATCGTCGCAGATTACAAATATTATTTTTTTTTTTTCAAACTAAGAAATAAACAGATTTTAACACATACCCCTAAGTGATGTGTTAGTCGAATGGCAAATGCTGCTGGATACATCGTCCAAAAGTTTGACAATCAGCCCGAAAATTGAAGGACATAGCATCTTTTTTTTTTTTTTTTAAATAGATCAGTGTGCTAATTTTACTCAGCGGGAAAAATAATACGGGCCCGAAACACACCCAAAACATTTTTCACCTTGATTGCTTCAAAGGTTGACTCTTTTCTGTCAGTATGCTGAGAAAGGAATTGCATTTTAGAAAGACAATGAATGCAAAGCAATTATTTGCTGAAAGAATGCATCTCCACAGGATTCGCAGAAAAAAATGAGACACAAGTTGGTTTTTGAATAAAACTTTTTATCTAAGCTTCTCAATTTTGCACACATTACACGTTTTGACAATTTTGCCTTAGTTTCAAGTGGAAAATAAAGAAAAGTCCGGTCAGCAAGAATAACCACTGGGTCATTACAGTATTTATACCTATAATTAATACAATCGTGGTGATTTAACAAATTTAGCATTAATCAGTAAAAAAATAAAGACAATAGTTTTCATTGCGATCACCAAGTCCGGGAGCGTCCATTTTTGCCCAAATATAGTAACACCTCACTCCTGACATCTTCCGGCAGTGGCAGTATGCCTAGCGCCATTCTCCCCGCTTTACAAGCAAAATCAATGGGAACTACTAGACACATCTTCAACAATTGTTTAGGATTTCCAGAGGACTTCACCATTGAAATTCACCAGATCTATAGTTAAACTGACAATGCCCACATGCATGGCAGTTGGATGTTATAATACATTGGGTAAAAGTGGAAAAGAAATTAGTTATTTCACCTTTCCAATCCACAGGTTCGTCAGTGGATTGCCAACTTGAAGAGCGAGGATTTGCCATTGAACTTCTGGCCAGAGAAAATGCATGTCATTAATCCGTTACTCTCTGCTGTGCATAGTGCACTGGTCGTCGCCATCGTGGATAATAGTGCGTTGTGACACACACCAGATACAGCACTGGGACTTGCTCAACAGCCAATACAGCACCGTGATGTCACAAACCGGTAGGTGGCAGTAGTTCTCTTTGACAAACATGGATGCCTCCAGTAAAGCACATTCAAATTAAATTAATCTTGATTAAAAACACTAATCATTTATTTAAATTCATGTAAAAATGTCATACTTAAAGTACTTTCAGAAGTTTGCATTCTGAATGTGACCGAACTTTTCCTTTAAAGGTATAGAAAAAATATCACCGTTTCAGTTTTTAGTCATATCCACTCAATATTCTAATTTGCCACTTTCACCCACCTGACATTACCATCATATAGCTCAACGGTTTTCAATATTTATGATATACACGCCAAAAACAAACACTTGGTATGTAACACTAACTTTTTCTGTCTTTTTTAAAATCCTTACTAGCTCATTGCTTATAGTACAGCATTAGAGGAATAATTTTATGTTTAAGAACATCCTGTTTCTGTCATTTAATATGATCCCTCCTCATTGCACACAATAAAATAAGCAAATAGAAATGGGTTACTGTTCTTTACATCACAATGTACAGACCATTTACCATGTATCTGGATGCAAAACTTTCACAAGAAAATCTTTTCTTCAAATTTTTTTACTTAGTGGTGCATACTATGTAGATCGGTCTCAATTTTCACAAATACAAATATGTGATTAATACATGCACAGGACAAGATCCACATATGCACAGAACGATTCACACAAGCACAAAAAAATTTACACACACAAAAGGACAAGATTCACAGACGCACAGAAGATTCATGCAAGCACAAAAGATCCACACATGCACGGAACAAGATTCACGTATTTCTGGTCCATAAACAATAATTAGTTTTTAAACCTCACTGCATTTGTGTGTAGATTTTTGAGACTCCCTAACAGTGAAGTTTAAAGACCACTGGAACTTTGTTATTTAATTAATAAATCTTTATGGACCAGAAATACTTTGGTGAATCTTTGGCTGTGTGGATCTTGTGTGCTTGTGTCAATCGTGCTGTGCGTCTGTGGATATTGTCCTTTTTGTGGGTGGACTTTTTTGTGCTTGTCTAAAATATTCTGTGCATGTGTGCATCTTGTCTTGAGCATGTATGAATCACATATGCGTATTTATGAAAATTCAGACCAATCTACCTCCATACTTACTGCCATATGAAAACAAAATCTGTGCAATTATAGCACTTGAGAGTTACATTCACTTTTAAAGATACACTAAATACATCATCTTTAAGGAGTGTTTTTTAGTGGTGAGAGTGAACTTTCATCTGAATATCACTGATTGGGCACAAAATCATGCATGCAATATATAGTACTACATATATGAATGTAGTACCACATGTACTGCATAAACAGCAAATCACAGATAAGCAGCGACATTATACTTTAGATTCACTAGTTTTTCTCAGTTTGTATTAAGTCAAAAATGTTTAAAAAATTAATAAAGGTTTTCATTAGTCCAAAAACATAAACAAGGTTCGAAAAGTTCACTTAATGCCAAACCTAACTGATGCAAAATGTATATTACATTTATATACTTTTTTTTTTTGGCATCGATTATTTCAAAGCTTTGTTACTTTTTTACAATCACAAAGTCTTTTGGAAAATGAAAGCACCCGTCTTCAGTGAGGCTCCCATATAGTGACAATATTTAACTCTTAACATAAATTGCAATGCCTAAGTCCTCTTGTTCTCATAAATCCTGAGAACGAAATATACAGTTGTTCTTGCTGCAATATATATTCATAAAGCCACTGAGTACCATAGGGATGGGTGATCAGTGGCAACTTCACACAATAAATCCTTACAGTGACAGCAGCAGCAGCAGGTTAAATGATGGACGGCGTGTCCTCCACAAGGTATGTATTTAGAGGAAATGCTGGCCAGTCACATTGAATTTTAATTGCTAAAAAATAATTCCTGCACTCCAACAACTATATATATTACATCAAGCATGGAAATATTATAATGGTCTCCTTTTTCTCATTTTAGCAGTAAACATGATTATCTATATGGGTGTTTTTGCATATGTCTCTCACTTAGACCATATTGGTTCTGATCTTTAGAATAGTGAGAGTTTTAGTGATAAGAAAAAAATGTGGTATGCTGTCTTTAGACGCTAGTTTCATCTCCGTCCTGCCGACATACGCTGAACTGCACCCGATCCCCCAAACTGATGTCTTCAGTTGCGCTGCACCTCCTGGTGCCACCTCTTTGAGGTGTAAAGGTGAACTGTCGAGCTTGTCGACTCTTAGAAGATCTGCCTTTGCCCATTCCGTTGCTGTAGGAGACAACTAGTCTGCGGTTCTCCTCAGGTGCAGCTGAACAGGGTGGGTGGCGGCTAGCCTGGTTGAGCTGCGGTGAGTCAGTGCTTGGGTTGCTGACACTGTTTTCCTGCAGGTCCGGTAGGTTTGCAGTAACTATACTGCCACTCTTCACGTGCGGTGTCTGGCTGTGGGTGTGGCGGTATTCCTCATAAATATCCTTTCCCTGTTTCCACCTTTTCCACTTTTTCACCATCTCTGACTGCACCTGAGCGACAAATGGAGCAGGAAAGCAAATAGCAGCACAGATGATTAAAAACTACATAAAGCATGTCATTAGATGTAGGCTATTTGCCAAGACTCCATTCAAAAGCTTAAATTTGTATATGGCTATTGTTGTTGAGCCTCCGCTTTCAAGATCAACATGAAATAGGATTTAGATGTCATAAACTAAGTACAAAATATAGCAGTGACTTTCGCAAAAAAGGTTACCTGTATGTAGGTATAAAGGATAGTATCAATGGCAAATACCAAAGTAAAGTTTCTATAATAAGAACGAAAAAGCATCTTACCTCTTTGTTGACAAAGCAATATAAGATGGCAACCAGCAGGCCCTGAAATGAAAGTTGGACATTTTCCTTTAACAAATACAGTTCTATATAAAATTAAACAAATAAAAAGAAATCTCTAAGATGCACATTGCAAATCCTTTCCCAATCTGCTACACTGAACAAAAAACTACTCATAAGATTCACTTCAAAAATATATTCGATTTGCACACAAATGATTTAAGTAAAATTGAATGCTGCAATATCAAGTAACATTCACTTGCCAGTATCAAGTGAATTTTACTTTCCATAAGACATAACAGTTGTGAAGATACATCCAAGGTGTAAGTTAAATTTAAAGTGTACTTGTTTTTTATAAGCACAAATAGCATTTTGCTGTAAATTTTAAGGCAACACATAGAGAAACAGGACAATCATTCACACACACACTCACACCTAAGGAGAACTTAGAGAAGCCAATTAACCTTACAGTCATGTTTTTGGACTGTAGGAGGAAGCCGGAATACCCGGAGAGAACCCATGCATGTACAGGGAGAACATGCAAACTACATGCAGATAGACCCATTGCCAAGAATCAAACCCGTAACCTTTTTGATGCAAGGCAGCAGTCCTACCCACTGCCCCATGAAGCAGCCCTCTAACTGGCTAACTTCCAAATATGCAATCAAAATTTGCAACTCTCTGAAACTAACAGTTTCAACATTCGTTACAGAAATATACAGTATGTTAAATCAAGAATATTTAACTTACACAAACATGCTCAAAACAAGTTCTGGGAGAGGGTCAGTACGGAAACAGCCACTTAAACTTTGAGCAGGGGCGTAAAGATGATGTATGTTTTTATTTAAATTTTAAAAAAGCATGTACAAATATATAATTAATAGTAAAAATTCATTATATTGTTCTGCATTAGGATTTGTACCGAAAAGAAGATAAGGTTGGTATGACTTGTAAACAACAAATAAACAAAAAGTATTTCATATGCACCATATCCAACACAGATCTGGTAATATAGTCACTACTTAAATATGCGATAAAAAAACCATACACACTGAAACTGTGAAATTTCAACATTTAAACTAGTCATCCAGACTAGTAAACTTTTAAGAATTCAATTAATTAACATTAATGAAACAAAATTTAGATTCTGTGTGTAATCCTGTAACATCTGGACTCGGAGCAGAATCAGTCCTGCTGTGAGCTACAGCATGCTAAAAAAATGCAACATTTTTAGAGAAAAGTTTGTGTAAACATACTCTTTTCTAAAAAATAAATGCATTACAAATAGGTTTAATTTTACTTCAGAAACTCTAGTTTTTACTGAATCTTAAAATACAGAGTAGAAATTATGACAAATACTCTAATACAGTTTACTGCACAAAAAGGCACTTTTTTCAGTGTACTGTGACCACTGCAACCATCTGTCTTATTCCACACCATAACTCACTCCTAACTTCATTCAACCAAACCTTAATGAGGAGCCATTTTGTTTAAGTAAGTTAATCAAGAATTAATCAGCTATAGAACATCAGTTTAGGAACATTAGACCCCAACTATTACAGTCATAACTACAGACTGGCAAGGGGTGTTTGCCTGTGAAACAAAGTCACTTGAAAATTTTATATAACCCACTATGGATATTACATACTGTAGTTAATTGTTAAAATCCTCTTATACACTAAAAGACATAGTGACAATTGTAAACGTGAGTTTAAAATGTAAAGGCTTAGTGCGATCAAAAAAAAAAAACTGAAGCTAAGTAAAAGTTAAAATTAAAATACTGCATTTGTATTGTTAAAATACTGCATTTGTTAAAAAAAATGTTGTATGTGGGACCAATTTTCAGACCTGGAAGGAGTTAAACAGAAGGTCACAGAAGAGGCGAATAAGGCGAAGCATGGAGCCTTTTGGGACAGACTCATCAATGACGAAGGTGAAGAGGATAGCGTGAATGCCAAGCAGTGGGATGAGAGTCAGTGTGGATTTTGCCAGCCTGCCAAAGAAGAAGAAAAAGATGAAGACCTTTAAGTATGACACATACCAAAACAATCAGCCCTTGCTTAAACTTAACTGTCTAAATAGATTTTCTCAGCAGATTTTTTTTTTGTCTAAAATGAAAATTGTAAGCCAAGTTGCTTTTTAAAAAATAAATTAATCAAGCTTTACAAACAAGATATGAAACACGCAACTTTAACTGTAATGACCCAACAGTGGGGTTCCTTAAAAGTGTTTTCTTTAAAAACAAAGTTTTGCAAAACCTTTTTAGCTAATGCATTTTTTTTTTTTTGTTGGTTTCAACCTGGGGTCTGAGACCAGGATAAATTAATATAACATAATTCAACCACTCTTTAATCAGGGGAGTTATGTTTGCTTTCATTAAAATCCCTAAAGAGATTAAGAATCTCTGTCTCTGTGGGGATTCAGCAAGCAGAGAGCTGCTCTTACTGTAATTCAATGAAATATTTCTACTAAGGTAGCCAGAGTAATAGTCAGCCATTTTGACAGGAATTTTACTTTGGAAACAAAATTTTCAAAACCTATCTTACAAATGAAAAATAAATATAAACTAAGAGGATAAACTAAAAGAGGACTAAAAAGCTTCACTGGGACAATTGAGTCGAGCATCCTGCTACCACAAAAATCCACCTTAAGTTCAGAGTCCGTCCAAAACAATCATGACTCTCTACCAGAGCTGCTTTTTGTCCGTAAGACCTGAGGTGGTAACACATTCTTAATGCAACTTTCTGTTACCTTAAGCCAAAAACCTGGAAGTTACAGTACATCTCTAGGACTCCTGAAAAGAAGTGGCAACCCTGCACTGTAGCAAAAGTAAACAATCTCCATTTGTGTAGATAGAAAAGTCCACCTTTTGAGAAAGTTTGCATCACAGAGCATCAGTAACTGCTGTATTTTGACTGGGAAAATCATTTAACACATCTCAAATTAACTTAACAATTGGGTCCAAAGTAATGCTTTGGGAATTACTGTGTCTATATACCGTCTTCTTCTTCCTTATTTGTTCAACAATTGTAAAATTTTCTTCCTTTGTACCATTATTGATAAATTTTTTTTTTACAAGAAGGTAATTATCTTACCTGAATTTGTAGTCAGTGTATCGCATTTGGTGTGCTCTAAGTTTAGACATCAGGATTTTAATTATTCGGATGAAGATAAAGAAGTTAATCTGAAAAATTATGAAAGGCAAACAAATATTTAGAAAATAACATTTTCAAACTAAGATGAGACAGTCATTAACAAAGCAAATGGGGTCAATTAGCAGACAGTAAAATTAATGTAAAGCTTTGATTTTTAAGAAGGCAATTTTTTTTTTATATCTCTGCCATGAAAGTTGTTAATGTGAGACCTACATATGGTGATCAAAAGAAGGAACTTTTCTGAAAACAGCTGAAAAGACTCAGAGAAAAACTACGATTAGAAAATTTTTATTGACATGAAAGAAAGAAATTATTTGGCGCTCGGGCCCCGGCAGACAACTCTGATGCTGTGAATCCACATCCGTTTGGATGACTGACCTTGGAAAAAGATTACAATTGTCTTCCCACCGGGGCTCGGACACTGGTGGTGGAATAAGCCTAAGAGTGACAGAGGTGGGTGAAAGTTCACTGGTGTAAAGGAGGGAAGCTAGGCTAGTAGCTAAATGAAGGGGATCTTCAAAAATGATTAGCTTCGGAGGAGGTGTGGTCCCGATGTTGATCGAAGCTTGATCGATCAAGCAGGTCTCCAGGTGAGGCTGAGAAGAGTCTTCCAGATTGAATTGTTGCTTAAACTTGATTAAGAAAACTCATGTTTATAGGAGCCCCAAATTTAGTAACAGATATGTCGTAGGTCAATGCTAGGGTACTTACAGGTAAAGCATCCAAATATATGAATGTGTGTATTTCAGCAGTGGAGCAGCACTAGGGATGTTTTAAGAAGACATGGGAAGAAATTGACTATTTTACTCCGAGGCTGGTCCTACTGGGCTCATGTTATGCTAAATCTGTATTGGTTCTTATCATTTACTATTAAGTTAAATAAAAATGCAGATCACAAACTGTTTTTAGAGGAGTTAGCATTATGTAAACTAAATCTTTACAAAAGCAGGCTTAAACTGTATTATCATAAACATAAACATTTAAAAGTTTTAAATAATGTGAACTATCATATTAATATTTGGGAATTATTTTTGAAAAGTAGGTATTTATAAAACATTGTTAAAAGTTTGATGTAAATGCTTTACATAAAGTTTCACATTACGTCATACAGTCTTATATTCATACAGTAGCATATGGATTGTGTGATCATGTTTACACAGTAGTCCCTTCAATTGCTTAATTGCTGTTAAGAGTTTATGAATCTTAAAGGGAAGATTTAATCTCAGAAAACTAACAGGTGTCTGACATATATTTATTTCCATAGACGGCCTTTCCACTGTTTTTCCTGCATATACTGTCAGTAATGTCATGATTTAGTTTCTGCATCATAAATGGAGGGATGAGTCATTGTGTCAAATAGACGTGGGTTTTGTTGTTGTAAACAGTAAACAGATTGTTTGGTAATCAAAATATACCCTTTTTAAAATGCCAACTAGACGATCCTCTGGGCAGCATATAACTTTGCTAAAACTAGTTGACATTTACCCAGTTAAATAAAATAAATAAGAATAGCCATGTAAAATAAAGTTTTGATGGTCTAGTTATTTTCCAGCAGATGAAAATGAACCTAATTTGTAATTAATGTTTGCAACATTTTAAAAAAATTGATAAAAATACAATGTGAATAACATGTAGCCATTACTTGTCCTGTTTCTGGGTAATAAAATGTAAGGTAATATAAGGACCACATATTCTTGGAGCCGTCATATATTTTGGCTGAAGGAGAGGCTGGTAAGGATTCTCCTCACCAGTTTCTTCATCTAACTCTAACTTCAGGACTAATACCTAAACCTAATATCCCTCATTCCCAAACCTAATATTGAAGTTGACATGAAATATTCTCTTGAAACATCACTCCTGCGGTCATCTTTTCATTGTAACTGGCTACATGATAAAAGAGTAAAAAAGCGATTAAGACCAGACATTTCATCATCCTAGCTTCTACTCGCCAGCTTCTGCTCTACCGACATTGAGCTCTTGACTGTTAACTGCAGACCTTTCCATCTGCTTTGGGAGTTTACTTTTGTTAGCATCAATGCTGTGTATGTGCCTCCCAGCGCTAATACAACAGAGGTCATAAATGTTTTTTACCAGGCTATCTCTGAGCTTCAATCTGCACACACAGATGGCGTTTTTATCCTTGCTGGGGATTTTAACCAGGCAAATTTGAAGACCGTTCTCCCTCATTTTAACAAACATGTGGACTTTGCAACTAGGGGACAGAAGAATCTAGACTTGGTTTACTCTAACATGAAAGATGCATTCAGAGCAGCCCCCAACTTGGCTTCTCATGACCTTTCACAGAAGCATCCTTAAAGAGCGTTGTGACCAGCTGTCTCAGTGTGTGGTGTGGATGCTGCAGCGTCTCAGACTGGAAGAACATCAGGAGAGTGGTGAGGACAGCAGAGCGGTCAATCAGGGCTTCTCTTCCCTCCATTTAGGACATTTCATCCCAGCGCTGCATGTCCTTAGCCTGTAACATCATCAGTGACCGTTCACACCCCCAACATGGACTCAGACTTAAACAACTTTTCTCCATGCCGCCCTCTGGGAAGAGGCTTCACAGCATTTGCTGCAGGACCAGAAGGTTCTAGAACAACTTTTTCCCCGCTGCCATAAGACTGTTCAACTAAACTGGACTCTGCATCACACTTGCATCATTATTCTGCACTACCCATGTAGCTAAATCTTTTATAATCCTTTTAAATAGAACAAAACTCAATGCTCCACTGCATTTTTCACCAGATTCATTTTGCTCACACTAAACCTTTCCACTTTTGCAGCATTAAATTGGTTTCCTTTCTCCTACAGTTTTCGTTCTGATCACTGCTGTACTTTATAAATGGTAATGTTCATTTCATTTCACTGTTGTAAGAAGGAAGCAAAGCAGTTTTGTTTTGTATACAGTGTGTATACAAAATGACAATAAAGTTTTTCTAAGTCAAAGTCCAAAATAGGACAAGTTATGATAATATATAGGGAGTATTTTAAAGATAAGCACATGGGGCACGGCTTAAGTTCACCAGTCGACCACCATGAGATGAGTGCGATGGCATGTGACGTCTCTTTAGGCTGCAGCCATACGCGCTTGGAAATTTTTGACTAAGGCCAGCTTCACTGCATCATCCAATAGGAGGATATTGTATCTGCTGTTTGCCTATTTCAACATGGAGGACCTTGATTTTACTGAGTGAGTCACAGTCCTTCATTTATTATTGAAGCCAAATAACTACCCCGGCATCCTGGAGTCCATCAGATCCTCCAGGGAAGCTCCCTCTTCAGGGAGCTCAGGAACAAAGCTGGATCAGGGTCACCTCCCATGGTGCTTCTGTCTGACCAGTAATCAAAACTGTTATTCTGCTTTGGGGGAGTGTCAACTAAAAAACAGAGGGGGTGCAGTGGAACTTAGATAGGAGTCCTTCTAAAGGCTTAATAAAAAAGGCTATTTTTAAATTGAACAATAAACCTCCAAAGAGCATTCCTAACTTCATCCTATTTATTTGATTAAAATAGCGTAGTCTTCCCTGAACTCACCCTACATCCAGATTACATTCAGTCCCTGACTGGTTGACGTGAGCCAAATCAACAGATAATGTTAGATTTTGAAATTTGGTTTGTATTAATTACAAATCACATCGTTTACATTGCTAGAAATGCCTCCTTTATATTGTTTCATTCCTGGGGGTGCCTCTACATAGGAATAGCATATAAATCCCTTGTTCTGGTTGTGTCATTCACATTTGGTGTGAACTGCTTTAAGAACTTGGAAAATAAAGTGACAGCTTTTAAATTACCGAATAGCATTGAAATAAATGTGCCAACAAAGCAGCTATGTTGAAACACTTACATTATTCAAATTTGAATATGACAGGAAAGACTTCTAACTCTAGGTAGTGTAGTGCATTTTACATAACCTCCATCAGAGATTTTCAATATTGATTTTAGTAGATGTTCTTGTTTAAGCTGGTAAAGGGGAGTAGGTACAACGAACAGAGAGACAAAGTGAGAAAAAAAAAACAACCTACCAGATAAGCAAACAATATGGGAGAACGGATAATCCACCAATATCCCATGTTAATATTCCTCTCCCAGCACCTAGGTATAAACACATGAACATATTACAGTGCAGTTTGTGGTGAATCTGCAAACATTTCATCCTCTACAGAATTAATAACCATCTGTCACTGAAAGATTAACATCAAAATATCTTCACATCACGTGTACTTACTCCTCGTTCTCATAGAGATATTTCACTGTGATCCATGGCAACACAAATATGAGAGGTGCACCTATAAAACAGTAAGGTCATCTTTATTAGCTTCTTTATTACAGAGACATTTACCATTTAAAAATATCAGCAATCCATTATATGGAAACTTTATAAGATCCAATTTCAATGCAAAAAATAGATATTTTTTTATCTTACTTAAAAACTATAACTACACTCAAGCGTCTAAAGGAATAAATAATGATGTTCCAATTAACCAGTTAAAATATGTTACCCAATTAACATTACAATCTTTAAAATAGTAGCTCCTAAAGCACAGAAATATAGAACATAGAACTAAATAATATCTCTGTAAGAGAAATGGATGCTGAACTGAAGCCTGAAAATACATATTTCCACCCGAACACCTTTGAAAGTGCAGTTTTGATGTTGGAGTGTTGTGGTAGTGTATGTTGGGTGTAAATTCCTGAATATAAATGTGGAAATATTGTTTTATTATTAAAGAGGCTATAAAATCTAAACAGTAAAGAACAAAATTATTACTTTGTTAACTTATTCGACTTGTCATTTACATACAGCATCCTAGATTGCATCAAACTCTAGCTTTGGAAGTTTTTACCAGACTAAACATAAATTGATGTTAAACCTTTGACTGCAAAGACATCTCTCAGCTGACCTTGTTTACTTTCTTCTATTCTGAAGTATGCCTAATCTTTTTTTTTATTATTTATTTATTTGTCTTTGTATGAGAACTTTCTAAATATTAATGAAGATAGCTTTGCTCAAGACAGCTTCTTTCATGTTTTTGTAGGTAAATACAAAATAAATAGGGAGTAAAATATCTGGTTTAGGTTTATTTGCAAAAACAACAATAAAAAAAAAGAATCCAAAACAAATCCAGTGTTTATCAACTTTGTACTTGAAAATTTGAGATCTTCCCATTTTTAAGAAAAACAACCAATAACTCTGCAGCTTAAATAAATAATAAAGGAGAGCTTGGGCAAACCTTTCGAATTCATCATTGCACTCCAAGTCTTGGTTGTTCCTTCAGAGAGTGGGAGACTGAACTATTAATATCCTTATACATTATAATTAATCACTTAAGATACTTTAAGGATTTAATTGTAAGCTTTTATCTTTAATAAATAAATTATAGTTTATTGAGTGAAGAAAAAAACTAATATTGTTGTGGATAGACCAATCCTTAATGAATCCTAAATGGTTTTCACCCATCTGTCCCAAAGCAGTTTTAAATTGAATGGAAAAAATAAGGGTGAATAATTTGTAATCTACATTCAATAAAGTTCTTAGCCTCAGATTATCGATATACTTTTATCCTTTCCTGGTTTAGGTAATTATGTAATTACTCCATGTTTCATAGATGGCATTAAATAATATTTTTCAATACACTCTTTTAAGGATTTTAAGTATTTTCAGTCTTTCCAGAAAAGCTTATGAAAATTGGAAGTCAGACCATCTTGATGAGGTGATTTGCCTTCTGACATTTGTTTAACAGCAAAATCTAATTATTCTATTTGTGTTTCAGAGTCGCATAATGTTTTGAATTTGAAGTTAATTCTAGGAATTTTGGGTTAAATACTTTCCAAAAAGGACATTAAAGATGTGACTAGAGTAGACTGAGTTCATAGAGAGAGCTCTCTGATTTCTCTGAATCGGATCACAAGGAGACACAAAAGTTAAGAAACTCTGAGAATGATATTAGAGCTTGTTGAGAACTTTTCTAAAGCTTGAAAGGAGTGTTAATGGAGAGCTCTTCCTTTGCTCTGTCAGAGCATGAACTGAAGCTGGGATGAGAGTTACTCAGTTCATAGAGAGAGCTCTCAGATTTCTCTGAATCAGATCACAAGGAGACACAAAAGTAAAGAAAGTCTCACAAAATATTTGATCTTGCTGAGAACTTTAGTACGTTAAATTGAGCTTTAGTACGTTTAGGAGAAATAAACCTTAGTCTGATTTTGGTGTCACATATCTCATAGCTGTCTAGGAGAAGTAAATGAAACATTTTGGAGATTTAATTTCAGATTTTTCCTTCCCTCTTGGTTTACTTAAACTTAGAGTTAATTAGCACATAATCAGATCGCAGATCTAATCGGTTTTGGTGTCTCTACTGCAGCGTTTGATCAGAGAGACATTTCTTCTAGACAAGTGTCTGTTTCCCTTTACAATAAATTATTTCATTAACATTTTAGTAATTTGGCATTTCCTGCCTTGTAGAGAATATATGATAAAATTAATCCCAATTATATGATAAAGGCTTCTGTCAATTAACTCATCTGGCAGCACGTCAAAGAAGACCATTTATATAATAATAATGTAGCTACTCAAATAATTTGTTAATAACAAGACAAGAGTTCATTACACTTCTTCTTCTGTGGGATTATCCAGAGTTTAGGGTCAGGAAAAAAGTTAATTATAAATAAGCTACACACTATTAATGATGAGTTAAATAAAAAAAAAAGCTGGAGAACTAATTACAGTATGAACAGTTCTAATTACTGCTTTAGTACACATGACCTTATAGAATAATGAAAATACATTTCATTTAAGGTGTAAAAGCATTAAGTAAAAATAATACTGTTTAAATATAAAAATATAACAGAGTCACAGTTAACTTAATGTAATGATTTATTTCTGTTTATGAAATTCAGCTGTGGATACTCTGTCTAAAGAAAGGAATAACATTTTCTGTCAAAAATAATGAGTACTGACTCATTGGAGGGCTGTATCCTTACATCAGTTAACATAAGTAGGTTAACTGATGTTTAGTTGCCAATGTTTCAGTAAACTGACTGAGAGAGAAGGGGTAGAATGTATAAGGCTTAGTCTCTGCCTAAATTGACTGTTGTCATTTCTCTCCTTATTGCCATTCCTTTTACCTCTCACTCTCTGAGTATTTACCCTAGACAGTTATTAAAGGGGAACAGCGTTTTTTTTTTTACATTGGGTCCTTGATTTTACGTTATTACATCATGTTCTACTCACGCATATAAATTTTGTGTCATTTGGAGCCGTTCTGAAGATATTCCGTTAGGTTATATCCAAGTAACGTCTTCCTATGGGCGATTATTATGTTATTGTTACAGCAAACCTAAAGGATCTCGCTGTGGCAGCTCACTAGTAAGCTAACCTGCAAAAGGGCTTCAGGCTAAGTGGTTGTGCAGGTGGGCTCAGAGGTGTCAGAAAAACTAACATCATTCAAGTGAAAATACAGATAAATGTGTAAAACAAAAAAACTGGTAAAAGTAAACATAGTGACTGAACCATTTCACGATATTTAAGTAAAAAACAGTTTCTAGCTTCCTGTTTCAAAGTGGTATAACAGTGAAATATGCCACCAGATGAAACTGGCTTACTAATAAAACCAGAATACTGTATATGTTATATGAATTTTTACGGGTAAAAGTGGTTGGGAAGAAGTGATCCTTTTTTTTTTTTTTGAAACACAACTAAACAAAGTGGTGACCCTTTTTCTGTCTTTAACACTAAAGGCTTTTTATGTGCAGCATTTAGTTTGTCTTAAAGTTTAGACGTTACATTGATATAACAGGTGGAGCTAAGCATCTGCTGTTTGCAACCAAAGAATGCTAGAACAAGGCTGATGCTGACCAAGTTTCATCTGCTATTAACTACTTATCATAATATTAGTAACAGGATGTAGAAACAACTATAGCAAAGATTTGGATCAAATGAATGCTTGCTGTGTTCTCTAGCTCATATGCATAAACTGTTAAAACTGCAACATACATATATGTTCATTTTCATAACTCCCAAAAAAACATTAAAACCCTATGAATAAAACCAGAATACAACATTCAATTTCTTTATAGGGTGTTTGATGACGCCGATATGCTACTTTTATGAATTGCATGCTATTTACCGCTTCTTGATCTCACTGTCACTCTGTTTTTATAGCAGCTGTTAGGACACTTCAGAGTGTGTCTGATTTTTCCGGTAAGGTGCACTGCTACAACATTTAGGTGAAGCTAAAATGTGAATGTAAGCAGACTCTCGCCTAATGCAGCTTTGTAGTAAACCTGACAAGAAGTTAACAGGTTAAACAACACAGACAATTCTGAGGAGTTTCCACATTCACCTAAATGATACCTGACATGTTATTAGCTGCAGGCAGATTGGATGGAAGGGACCGATTAACAAGAAGACTTAATACATTTGGCGTTTTTTTCTTTTTCTTTTTTGCAAGTACTGAAAAACATCCATACCTGTATATTTGCTCTAGGAAATGTATTTCTCTCTTTTTTTGTCAATCTCTTATTTCAACATCATGTCCTCTTAATAGACGGGTGGCACTATTCAGCTTTTCAAACAAAACATTATTTTGTTACATTTTAACTCAGCCAGATATTCCAGACTGAGCTCCAGTTAAAAAAAAAAAAAAAAGTTGTGATCTTAATAAATAATCCAAAGTGTAGCTTCTTTGAGATCAAGAAAAAAAAAAGGAAAAAAAATGGAGCTGAGATTAGGATAAAACCAAGCCTGTGAAAGTGTGGTTGTTATGATTCTCCCCTTGTGGACTTCTACTTGACTTTCCTTTAAAGTTTTCAGTTCCACTTGGATTTATGTTATTCTGTGTTTTCTTGTTCATTAATTTCCATTTTGTGTTATATTTATGCAGTTTTGTATCTTTTGAGTTACTGTCTGTGGCCCCCTTTGTGCCGGTGTCCTTTCCCCTAGCTCCCTTCAATCACTAATATCGCCCTTTTGACTTCATTAAACCTGCAAGAAGTCATCTCTGCCTCCCTCATCTCTGCATTTGGGTCCTCAACCAACCTGCACCCCCACGTTTGACAGTGGTATCGAGATAAAGATTGGTCTGCAGTACTTTTACACTTATAAACTATACTTTTAATGCAGGAACATCAAATATTCAAATACTTGCTGGAAAACATTTGAAATGGGCAGCTCTTTCAAGAGTGTTTAAATTAAATTCTGATTTTCCAATGTGAAACAGCCAAAAGTCTATTGATGCATTCAAGTTAAGAAGTATAGTAAATTAAAAGCAATTGTGCTCTTTTTTTATATGCAAAATTCACCTTTTTTAAGCTTCTAAAAGTATTCAATTTCTAGTCCTTCATTGAGATCATACAAAAAGTGCTATTTCGCCTGATTCATGCATGTCTGGGTAATCCTTGTGAACTCAGCTTTCTGAGCAGGTCTTGGACTTTGTTCAGCCTTCCTAAAGAGGAGCCTAATTACCAGAAGTGATGTGACACTGATGATGTAGCCGCTTTAGGGTGAGGTCATGTATGGGCAAAGGGAGAAGCCACACCACAGTAAAAGCATGTGTCTTTTTTCTGGGTTAGAAAAATACAACCAGGAAAAAAAATAATATTTCATAACAGATGAATTATACTGGGAAAGGTTATACTTCATCATATGCATATTTCTATCATCATATACATGTTTTAGGTCTTTTAGGTTACTTTGGAAGGCTTCAGAGAGCATGATATAGAAGCATTGGTTAGAGGAAATGACTGATACATGTCTGATGATTATCTTATGTTATGACTCTGGGTTGTCATTTCGGGCATTCAGTTCAGTTGTTCCAGAAGATTTTATAAAACACTACTCTTTTCTTTATTCAGGCTGTTCATTGAATGAAGTTAATTTCTCTGATAAACTTTCAAGGAATAGAAAATCAAAAATTTTTCTTATTAAAATTTTCCTGTGTTACTGTCTGTGTAACTGTTTGGGTTCTGACCCCAGCCGATGGCCAAGTAAATGTAGAAGTATTTCTTTTCGCTGAAAACAGTGATGACAAGCAGGCTGTGCAGGTAGATGCCTTCCACCAGCAGCCAGTAGTTGTTGGCCATTACGCTGTACTGCATCATCACCACGGCACCTCTGCACCACATCACAGCCTAAAATAAAGCAGAATCATAAGTGAATTAGAAGCAGAGTATATCTACCGTAGTAGCTATAGTCCTAAACTTTGTAGCATCATGAATAAATATTCAAAACGGCCACATAAATCAGTGACAATTTTCTCTTTCACGTTGGACAGACGTCAACTTTTCAAGTTCAGAACACATGATTTGTTAAGACGCATGTCATCTTTCGTTTTTCAAACTCTGTATGTTGTGTTTCCCTATTGCCTGAAAAATATGCATTGCGTATAAACAGTGAATCTGCGTAGAATGTACACTCCTATTATAATCTCTTCAGGGAAATGGTTCTAAAAGTGGGGACACACCCTTTAGGGAAGGCGCAAAGTAATTGCAAGGAAGTTGTTTTAGAAATGTAATAAAAATTTACCAATTATGACTGAAATAAAAAAAAAGTATTGATAGTTTTTCTTTTATTCTGTTACAGGGTAATTTCAAGTGGAAAGGAAACAGTTAAACAAACTTAATTCACAAGATTGTGTCTTACTATTATCATTATTACACTAAAAATGTGAAAAATATAAATGTAAAAGAAAATACGTAGCCTTGCCTTTTTGGCAAGGATGTTGAGGTACTATAAGTGGTGAAATCGCGGGTGGTTGATTTCGCTCTGTAGCTTCCAGTTGAATAGACTGGTAATACGCATGATACCTCACAATTATAACACCCTTAAGAAATTTGGCATGATGAAAGACGAAGCTGAAAGGACACTCAAGGGTCTAAATCACATTGCTTAGGCTTCAGAGCTCATTCGGTGTGTGTCTCAAGCTGCAGGAAGGAGAAAAAAGGGGGCTGTGGAGCCTGACTATCCGTGCTAGCCGATGATCTGCTCTACCTTGTGGAAACGCGGAGACTGATATTACGTCACAGGTTGCAGGTAGAAGTAGCTATCTGGACACTCAATGGTTGTAAAATCTGACACCGGTTCATGTGTTTGGGGCGAGGCGGGTTGGCAATGCTACCTTTTGTAGCTGCTGTTCACCAATGCCAATAGTGAGAGTCTATCTGCTGTCGGGAGGCTGACCTGGATCACGTACTGTGCAGTGAGTTGTGCATTACCAATGTTCTGACCTTTAGATCGCTGTGGATCTAAGAGATGGAGGTTGCCACGCTGCCACTGAAGGACCTCTGAGAGGAAACATTGGAGCAACCGGTAAACTTATTTCAAATATAAATAGGATGGTGAGGGAGACGAGTCCTGGGTATCCGGCGGGTGTCCATATAAAACTTACACCTCTGGGTAGAAAAAAACCCAGTTTTATTTAACAGGTGGGTATATATGAACAAAATGGGGGTATCATAGAGTTACAGCATGAATTAAACTTATTTATATTTTCTAATTTATTAACTGTTCATCTTTAAAAAATTTATTGATTCAAGAATATCCAGATAACAGTATTTTTTAAGCAACGTGGCAAACCTTCTTACTTTGGCCAATTAACAGTTGATAATGTTTGAGCACAGTAGCACTGGATGTGACAAAAATGTATAAAACAAGACTACGTTTTTTTATTTAAGGTTAAATTATTATGTGTAAATTAAGTTATTTCTGTTCATGGTTTCATTTCCACATTAAGCAACAAACAAATTCAAAACAGGTAACCTTTATCCTGTTGTTGGTATGTTGTTGTTTTGGTTACATAATGCTCAGATTTTATGTTGGTTGATTCCAAACAAACCAGACAAAAAAAAAGCTAATCAAACAAACGGCATTTAAAGGAGAAGTTCGGTTTTTTACACTTTAAGCCCATTTTCTGTAGTGTCCAGGATGAAATCGAATGATCGACACCAAAAGTTTGACA